AAAAAGAAAAACACAAACTTGCTGCACACTTCCCGCCCTGCGCATACCTTAGCCGCACCCTGTGTTGTCCAGTGTAATTTTTGGTTCGTGTGGCATATGCTGCTATAACATTTCGTTGTTGTTGTTGTTGTTTCTGTTGCTGTTGCTGTTGCTGGTGCTGGTGCTGGTGCTGGTGTGTCAGTTGCACGATTGCCAGAGAGACAACGTGTCTCCAGTGTCATCAGCATCTCCATTTTTTGTCTGTTTTCTGTTGTTGTTTTTTTTTTTTTTTTGGTGACTGCTGCCACTGGAGCTAGGAGCTGGGACCTGGGAGCAGTTGCAGGCGACGCTGCCCGTTGTTATAGTGCAGAAAAATTACTATGACAACGCTGGAAACAAGTAAACCACAGTTTACATTCACTCAATTTGGTGCGACAAGGCAGGCAGCGGGGCAGCGGTGCAGCGGTGCAGCGGCGCAGCGGGTGGGGGACTGGGTGGGGCAGAAGGGGGCTGGCAGTGTGGCAATGGCAGAATCGTGGCGTGGTGGTGGCACGCTCATCTTCAATTTTTCTACGACGTCGTCGTCGTCGTCTTTGGGCTTTGGGTCGGGCTCACACTCGCACCACGGCCTTACCCCTCGCTGCATCCACGACTAGGCTGGGCTCACTTGGGCCCGGGTTGAGTTGGAGTTGGAGGCGTTTGGTGGGCAGGCAGGCAGTCGGTACGCCGATCTGCGCAGCAAGATGAGTGGTTGGCAAAAATGTTTGAATGCGATCACGAACTTGACCTTTCACATAACCTCAAAAAGGCAGTCACTCAGTCAACTGGAGTCCAAGTCAACGCGAACGAGCCGAGCGACAAGCGCGTTACATACGCGCCATGTTAAACAGACAGAACTTGGACCTGTACCCAGTTGCCAGTCCCCAGTCCCCAGTCCCCAGTCCCCAATCCCCAATCCCCAATCCCCAGTGCCTCCGACAGGGTGTCAGCCGACAGCCAACAGCTCAGCACCGCTCAGCTCGGGCATAATTAAAAAACAATCGCATTGTGCGGGCCAGGCAAATGAATTCTCTGCGAGCTGCATTCAGAGTCAAGGAGCGGCCGCTGCCTGCAGTTATGAAAGATTTGCCATCTCTTAAAGAGACACAGGGAGAGAGAGAGAGAGAGAGGCTGGGGTCTATCGCTCGAGATGCCAAAATCAGCAGCAGTCGCATCGATGAAGTGCAGCAACGGTAACACAACGAAACTTGCATATCATTCAATGCTCTGCTGCTCGCTAGAGTGCTGCCCCATGTTGCAAGTTGCCCCTTACCCGCTGCCGTTGCCTCGTCTTTAAGGTCCTTTGCTTTGGCAACGACCCGCGTGTCGCCGCATCTACTTAACCTGAAAGCCTATGCCCCCAAGTGCCGAGCCAGCCGCGCAGAGGAGCAGTCCGAGGCGCGGAGTCTCAGGCTGGGAGACTTGGGCTGAGGCACCGACCAACGCCTGCACCGGCTCCCTCCCCTCATCCAGCCCCAACTCTGCCGAACTATGCTGAGCTCTGTGCTCTGTGCTCAGTGCGGCTAGTTCAACAGCTTTATTTATGGGCTGTTTGAGTAGCTTAAATAAATCAAGTTGTAGTTGTTTCGCTTTAGCTGCAACGCTTCCCAGCCTGCAATTAGACTTGGTGGGAATTCGCACTCGACTGTCGGGGATTCGGCAGACAGCCTTTTTATTTGGCCAGTTTTTTTGGCTGAATTTGGCTATACCCTGGCCAGCTCGCTCTGCAAGGCTGACTAGATGATGAACGGATATTCCAATATCATTCAACTGCCATCTTTTACCAGGAATAACCAGAACATACACTATTTAAATAATAATCGATCGATTTTGGTTTTTATTTGTAACTTTTCTTAAGGAAAGATAACCATGCAAATATTGGTAACACTACTCTTGGTTACTCCTAAATAAGCAGACATTATATAGTGCAAGATCTTTGCCAATAGAGGGTATATTGTGGGCACCCACTTCTTTTGCTAAGCATTTTCCAGCTTGTTGTCTTTTCTCCGCTTCACTCGGTTCATTCGCAGTTCGGGGCTATCGGCTATCAGCTATCGGCTATCGGCTATCGTGGCCGCTGCCTAATTGCATAATTATTTAAAAGCCATAATTTATGTGGCCAAATAGTCAAGTGTTTACACATATTCGTATGTGTATACTCGCGTATACATATAGTATATAAGCATATACACAGCGTAGGGCAATGCTGAATGACCGTTAAACTTGAAAATTAAGACGGGGTCTCCCATTATGTGCCGTTTGTTTTACAAATTTTAACGCTATTTAACACATTTGCCACAGATCAGCAGACAACTCGCGCGCTGTGGTAGCACGCCACAAAGCCGAAGAGGAAAAACCATTAAGAGCGAGCGACTGAATGGGCCTCTCTCTGCGCCTCTCGATAGCCCGAGCGTATTGACAAAATTAATGATGCCCTCACTAATATCATGCCTAATTGATTAATATGCGCAACTGCCGACTGCCACTCTGACTTTATATATTGTTATTATATATATATATATATATTTTTTTTTTTCTTGGATTTTTTTCTTTTAGTCGAAGTCTAATGAACGCAACGCGTTTCGGCTCTTAGCTGTTAATCTTACTGTATAGCCATTTAAGGCAAGCCGAGCTCTGCTTCTTAATTAAATTATGTGTACCGCTGGGGCACCCTACGGCCTGAGGCTTAGCAGCGGCAGCAGAGGCAGCTACAGCAACCATATAACTATCTATCTGGCCGAGGCAAACATCCATCTTATAAGATAGTCTCTGATGATGTCGCTGCTGATGAGTCGAGACCCGGAACGGGTGAGTACCACGCAGTGGGCAACAGTTTTGGGGCGTTGCTGTTAACTTCACACACACGCACAGACATACACACACACACACACACTAGCCACATTATGCGCCTAGTCAAAGAGAAAGGCTGCCAAAAAGGTCAAATGGTCAACAGCTGGTGGTCGGTCAAGTGGTAAAACCAACAAGAACCAAACAGCAACAACAACAACAGCGACACACGCTCTCTATGGGCTTGTTAGTTGCGCTAGATGGTATGCCCCAATCCAAGCGAACACCCCCTCCCCATCCCCCCCCCCCCTCATACTCATACCATTCCACTGCTGCCGCCTCAATTTAACTGCCTTCGACTGGAGCTCGGGTTCTGGCTCAGTGGGCAGCCAACAGCTGTGGCCCATTGTCGTTGCGTTAGAAATGGAGCCACGCTCGGAGGGAATCGACGTGAATCCGTTTTATGGGCCCACAAGTGATTTTCATGTTGATTACGAGCCAGCGCTACGGCTGCAACAGGTTGCATGACGCCCGGGGCACTCGCATTAAATGGAAATCAAAATGGAAATAGAAACAATTAAGCGCGTCTATTTCATTAGCTAAACGAGCTGCATGTAAGGCCTGAGCATTAACTACTGTTAGCGAATGCTTTCACTTTCGCAATAAAGAATATATATATAGATATGATATGATGATATATATATATATGTCTGCTTATACATTCCCTCCTATATATGACATGTCGAAATATTTAAATATAGATGAGATAAGCCCATAAGCATTTGGCAAAAGCCAGAGACCCTAATAGCTTTTGTTTCCAGAGTTTGGCATTCGCATTCGCCTAGATTGAATATATTACCACCGCAGACGAATGAACTTTGACACTAAAGCCTAAAACCCGGAACACACATGCCCCACACATCATTCGCATGCATAAAGGTATAACCGGAACTTTGGCTACTGGATAAGTTTTTTGATTTCAAATGCAATAAATCTGATTTCAGGCGATAAAACATTTCTGTTTGCAATTCGTTTAAATAAGCATTTGCATAATTTGATAAAGTCCGCTAATTAAAAGATTGTTTGAGCCAAGCGACTTTATGATTAATCCTTAAGCGCAGCTCCACAAATATCAATGACAGTCTATCGCAGAAAAACTTCTAAATGATTCTCCATCTAGTTTATTTTTTCTGTTGCTCTATTTGCTGTGTATCTCGATACTATATCAATCACATTGTCATTCTATTCTGCCTTTAAGTCAGTTTTAATTACAGCCAAATGTGAATATATTTAATTGATTAAAATTAATAATATTAATGAAGATAAAAAACAAGATAATAGATATAATGTCAGATTCAGATGCCACATGGTTCTAATATGGACAGCCCTGTATACCCAGTGGTATATCTGAGTTATCTAAATAAATCGGATTTCGTGAGCTCTATTGAATGTTAAGTTCGGATGTCTTAATTGAAATACATATACATATATATCAATCTAACAATTTCACATAAACATAATATGTATATTTAGATATAAAAGCAAATTCAAAGAGATAATTGGAGGTATCGATAAAAGATGTAAATAGCAAGTTATAGCAAGTTATCAAGATTGAGTAAAATTTCAGCGGCTATTTCTCAACTCTAGAGAAAATGGCTTACAAATAGTTTTGAATGATTTATAAGCGGTTAAGCGGTAAATGTTTTAAGCTTCAGTATTTTCAGCGACTATCTAGAAACCAATTTGTTTTTTTTTTTTTTTTTTTTTTTTTTTTTTTTTTGTGAAAGATACATCCCAAATTATTCGAAAACTTTCAACTTTCGTTGAAGTGTCTTGAGTCTGTGGCAAATCGCTTAGGGTTTAGCCATAAAATTGGTTCTGCTTATCAATTACAGATTTTTTACCTGCCACCCACTACGAAAGTGGGACTTACTTAAGCTGCCAACTGTTATAATTAAAAAGCCCGCCTCCGATCGCTTTTCACTCCAGATGCAAAATGGTTTCTTTTCGAAATGCTCACTTGGCCCGTTTAGAAAAGCCAACCTTACGCAGATTACGGCTAGTCCATTGATTAATTACTCGGAACCATATTTATCGAGCGTTGGCAAAGAACGGCAACAACAACAACAGCCCCGTGTATAGGAGTAGCTGCAGATGGAGCTTTAAGATGGGAATGCGTATAATTAGCAACTTACCGCGCGGCGAACGTAGACTCAAATCAACTGGCTCAACTTGAACCGGAGGGCCCTCTGCCTGCAAAAGAAGAACACAGAGGGAGAGAGATAGAGATGGATTGAGCGTAACAGATAGAGAGATAGCGAGAGAGAGGGAGAGAGAGAGAAAGAGTGATAGAGGGAGAGACAGCGAGAGAGAAAGAGGCGGAAAGAGTAAAAGATTCTGAGATTATTATCAAGAACAACATCATTATGATTAAGAATGTGGCTTATTAGATATGCAAGTAAACAATAAGGCCATAAGCTACGGCTACGGCTAATCAAGTTTGACAAAATGCTAAAGAAGAGAGAGACAGAGAGAGTTTGTGTGAGTCTGCGTGTGTGTATATATATATATGTGTGTGTGTATGTGTGTGTATCTCTATCCGTGCGTGTTTGGTGGCTGTTTGGCTTATTGAATTCAACTGCGTGGAACCGCAAACGACTTCCGTCGGGACGAACGCTTCTGCATCTGCTTCTGCTTCTTCATCTTCTTCTTGCTGCCCCATATGCGAAACCGCAATTGTTGCGCATTAAGCGCTTACGAAATTTTTGACCAATAAACTAGCGGCAATAAAACCGAGCCGACAAACAAATATTAAAAAAAAAGAAAAGATATTTATATATATGTATAATAAAACTACAAAAAGAGCTGGCTTAAAACAGTTATTGGCTGCCCGCAGCGCCATAAAACGGATAAATTTTCATTTAGCATTGCATATGCATCAGAGTGAGGAAGCAGGGAGTTTGGGAGTGCGAAGTGTAAAGTGTAAAGGGGGATGGGGAGAACGGGGGAGGGCAAACGAGGTACTGCTCGGAACACTGAAGCTGTGAGCTGGAGGTGCGAAAGCGCCAACACTTCGCGTTTCGCTACATTCGAAGAGCTTTTGGCCAAACGGATGCAGCGGACTGCTGTTGCATACAAGCTGCCAACAGAATAACAACAACAGCGAGAATAGCAACAACAACAACAACAACAGCAACAATAAAAACATTGCCCAGTGGGCAACAAACGACAATTGTCAAGCTTGTAGCGCAAATTATGAAAAAATGTCAGCGTCGAGTGGGCGATTTACAAGCTGGCCAACTTCTAGATGCTGAGATTTTTACACTTGGCCAGCCACGCGATGCTGCCTACCCTGTATATGCCCATTTGCTAATAGGGTATGATTGATCTTCGCCTAGCCTAAGTATGGGAGCCCATTGAGTAAATTAGTCAAATCTAATTTTCCGTATTGCCGCAATATTTTTAGAAAATATAAATAAATTTTGTATGCTTCTTCAGAGTTTTTAAATTGGAATAAAGTTCAGGTCCTCATCTATCTTAACAGAACAGAACATATTGCTCATAGATTTTTAATTTGTATGTTTTCTTACAATATTTTACTACTATATATTAATACTACTTATTAATACATCTTACAAATACTACTATATTAGACTATTCATATTTAAGCTCAGTTTTGCTACTGCAACGATTTATATATAGCTATTTGTAGTTATTTATTTATTTCTAGCTATCAAAAATAACCCGTTTACATTTAGAATTATTTTAGAATTTAAATTAAATACAATGATATGACTTTACATTCTTACTCTATTTCATACTTTCGATTTCAGCTCTGAAAAATATATGACTTTCCTATAATCAAAGATTTTAGCTATGTGCATCTAGAACCCTTTAGATTTTCAAACTGATTGAACTTTTAGCTCCGACTGCAAAACGTCTGTAATTTTCGCAATAATATTGTTTTTTTCTTTGTTAGGTAATTAAACACAGATAATTAAAAGTCGCTCACTTGCAATATGGCTCAGGGTAATTACAAGGTATTGCTTTAGTCGAGCTACCCCTGAGGCGATGTTAGGTGCAGTTGTCGTTGTTGTTATTGTTGTTGTTGGTTTGTTGCGGCTGCTGCATTTATTTATTCAAACAAATGCTCATTGCCTTTGAAAACAACATTAGATTAGATAGTTTGTCTTCGATTGTGTCCGGCGGAGCAGTCGTTGGAGCCACTGGGGCCATTGGGGCCGTTAAGGCCAATGCACATGCAATCGATGACTTTTGGGCTATTTTATCTTATGGATTGCATTGACAACAACTTCATCGGACACATCGAGAGCCGAGAGCCGAGAGCCGAGAGTCGATACGAATCGAGATGCATTGCGATTGATATGCGGGCCCAACAACCGTTCAGCCATTTTATCTAATTGCCTCGCTTAACTGTGCTGATTTATTGCCCGAGCTCTTGATCTGCCAGAGTGGAGGCCCCTGCCTAGCCCGGTCCCCACTCCTACAGGCCGCCCGCCCTTCTTTACGATATTGTTATTGGCGTTGCAATCGCTGCGCTAATTTGTGTGAGACGTGCTGAAATGTCTCATAGGCGCCGAGCCCGAGAGGAGTTGACCATTAGCTGCGCCTGTCCAGCATCGTCGCGTCGTCAGCACCGTCTCCGGCCCACCTCCACTCCTCTCTCTTTCTCTCTCGCCCCAGTTGATGGCCAGTTTTATGGATTGTTTTCCGATTGGTATGCGAGCTGGCAAATAATATTTGCCGACAGGAATTTTTCGGGCAAAAAATCAATTGCTGTGCGGCTTTTGCTTTGAGGCGTGCGCGATTTGCTGCAATTGATGAGCCCCATAAGTTGACCAGTGGCAGGACTGGGAATAGTCTTGGCGATATCATTACTGTTACCACACGCCGAACTACATCGTCTACTCCAAAGTCTCTAAGAGTGAAGGCTAATCACCTTAATTGATTGTGATTCGAATTAACTGGATGGGGAAGCTAATATCTGAGGACGAAGTGACTATACTGGTATATCATATCCGATACATACAGAATCTTTTATCGAGAATTTCCTTTTCAGCTCAGTTTCAATGTTGAGATCTTTTTCTCTTGGAATTCTCTTCAGGTTACTTTTTATTTGTTTATCTAAATCTACAATCTAAATAACTCTAATATTGCTAGTGGCAGCTTCTATAATAGAGGAGAAGTCTCATGGTGATGAGTACTTTTTGTATGTATTTTCTTGCTGTAATTATCATTCGTTTTATGAGAACATGAATAGGAATACAAAACTAGTTAATCGAAAAATCAATTATAATTTATCAATTGTATAATAAATATCAAATTAAGAATAACATGAATTCCACACCTAACAACAACAAAACTAATTGCATGCTATCTGTCATTCAATTGTGATGGAACTTTAGTCATGTTTTAATGTGCAAAGGAATCAGTTGGGATCCTTTAGATTCGTTTATAATAAGGTTTTTATCGAAAATATCGCAGGTATATAGATCCTAACCACCATTTACCGATTCTATCGTATTCAATTGTTATCTATTCCGAAAGATGATCGATGATTATTATGAGTACTCTAAATCTATAAGACTTCAGTGTAGTTAAAGGTTCTATATAATACCGAAACTCACCTCCTTTGCTGACAGAGGGTCGGATCCCAGTCCATTCTGAAAGCAAAGAGGAAGAAGCGAAAATCAAACAGGGTATAATAAGATGAGAAACAGTCTGTGTGAGTGTGTGTGCCACGATTGCTATGAAGGTGTCAGCCTGGCCTCCGTGTGTCTCCGGATGCACTCAGAGGCGTCTGCTGTCCAAAAAGGGCAGAGCAAACAAGGTCGTGGATGGTGAAAGAGAGGGGAAAAGGCAAAGAAAACTTGACTCGCACTGGGACAGGGAAAAGGAAGGTGCGAGAAGACAGGAGCCTGGAGGGAGGAAAGTGTAAGAGTGTGGGAAAGTGCTAAGCTGAGCTGAGCAAAAACGGGGGCACATGGCATATGGCATTGGCGTTTTGGTGTTCTGGCATAGTGAGTCGAGTGGTGCTTACCATGAAAACCATTAAATTGTAAAACGTCTTACAAAATAATAATTGCCCGGCAACGTTCTGGCCACGTTACGGAACTACGACAGCAACTGCAACGCTGGCGACGACGACGACGACGGTGCTTGAAATAATCGCTGCAACTATTGTAGTTAGTCTCTATTGTCGCAGCAGCTGTTACCGTGTGCCACTGCTGCATGCTACCCGCCAAATCAATGACAACAAACACAACAACAACAACAACAATAATAACGACGGAATCGGAGGTGGAGGCGGAGACGGAGACGACGACAGAAGACACAGGCAGAGTGCAACGCACCAGGCGGGCGATAGTTGTAATTGCTATTTAAAATTTGGAAAATTTGTTGTTCTTTTCTCTGCTTCGGGTTTAGCGACGGCGACGCAGCAAACGCGGCGGCAGCGACGTTGGCCGCCGCATTGTGCAAAAACAACTTGCAGACGAAGCGAAAAGCTTTGCAGTGCGTGACGCGTGCGATCGAGGGGGTTGCTGCTATTCAAGAGAGCGAGAAAGCGACTGAGCGAGTGAGTGAGTGCGCGAGTTGCTTAGCTGGCCATAGGCAAATATTTATTGAGGCGGCAGCGCATGACCGTATTGAGATTGTGTGCGTGTGTTTGTGTTCCACAATTATTCCACTGTTCCACTGTCCGCGCTTATTGTGTGAGCCGACGCTTGGGCGTCAAACGCACAAAATTCATGAATACATCCGGTCCGCTTCACTTATTAGCACTTATTGCAGCCGGCTGGCTTCCTGGGCGGGGGTGTTACACATTTTCCTGCATATCCGCTAAATTGCCGGACACGCAGCCTCGGGCGCAACAAACAGCAATCAGCACAGCAAACGCACATACACACACACACACACGATGCACACTTAATTCGATCAACTGTTGTTGCTGCTGCTGCTGGGGCGTTGCAATCACGCGCTGTGTAGTTGTAATCAAAAGGCTAGGCACATGCTACGCCCCACGGGCTGCCGCGTGTTTAAAATTTATTGACACTCAGCTATGTACGTGTACGTATGTACATATGTATTTCATGTAGGTGTGTGTTTGCTATGTGTGTGTGCAAATTACAGCACATCCGTCATTTTAATTTCACTTAAAACGCCAATTAAGTCAAACGCACGCACGCACGCACGCGCAGCAAATGCAAAAAACGAGAGCAAAACGATAACAGCAACTGCAATAAATGCCGGCAGCCCAAAGAAGACAAACGGAAAACGGCAAACGGAACGAAGAAACGACTTGAAACTGAAACACAGGCGAAGCGTACGCTTATAACGGTCGACGGGCAGCCAAAAGGAGTTCGTATTGTACCGTTTAACTTTACGCGAAGCTTGGGACGACTATGAACGAAGCGCGACACACGACCGACTAGCGCCACGTTCGCTGCTGGAATGAAACTAGCCGCAGCCAACATGTTGCGTTGGAGCAGCTCAGCATACCTGTATGCTGTTGTCTGTATTCGTGAATATTGGTGTGTGAGTGTTTGTGTGTGTGCGCCAGTTTGTTTGTTTTGTTAAGGTGGAGCTAGGCTAAATGACAAGTTGGCGCGCATATTATTGGGTGGCCAACTGTTTACATTGCCTCACACCTGTGTGTGTTAGTAGTGGCAGTGTTTGTGTGTGTGTGTGTGTGAGCGTCTATACATATGTGCGGCTGCTTGCGTATTATTAATTAACATGCATAGCCACATACAGACGCGCGACAAGTTTGGCGTAGGTGTTGGCGCCAGCGTTTCTCATTGGCTGTCGGCGTTTGCCCAAAAGCAATTAATATAACAGCACATAAAGCACCGCTGAATCTGTGTGTGACTGCTTTTCAGATGCTTGCACGTCCATCAGACTTGTTACGCTTTGTTTTCGGTTAGTTTTCTGTTTTCGCTGCTTAATCTTGCGCTGCATCTACGCCACGCAAAAGGCAAAACGCAAAGCGCACAACGCAAACGAGGCGAATTGGCGAATCGACGAGCGGGGCGAACAGGCGCACAGTCTAAAGCGCAGACGCAGACGCAACGCGAAGCGACGACTAAAGACATTTCGGCAACCCGCGACGTAGCTGTGGGAGTTTTTTCTTTTACCCCCAGCTTGCACTCGCCTCTCGCCGCGCTTTGCACCGTTAGACGCGGCTGATCCACTTTTCCACGCGCTTTGACAACCATTTTTGGTAACAATAAATCGTGATACATCATCAAAAGTCAATTCAAATATGTAGACAACATTGTTTTTGTTGTTTTCGTTGCTGCTACTACCGATGCTGTTGCTCTTGTTGTAGTTGCTTTGTTATTCCTTTTCGCCTGACATGCCGCAATGCGAGACATAAAAAAATATTTTAATTTTAATTGATTGTCGAGCGAGATTTACGTGCACCAAAAGTTGCTTCTCACGCTCACACACACTCACACATGCACATGCAGTTTGATGACAGGATTAGGATTGGAATTGTCAAAATGGAAAGCGGCTGCTTCTCTTTTTGCACGCAAAACAGAGCTCAGCTCGGATCAGAGCGCACATTTCTTATAGGAAAAACATCCAGACGTTACGTTTTTTCTCTCGCATGTACTTTTTTCTTCTGCTCATCGAAATCAACATAAACGCAGTTGAAATCAATATACTACGTGACTTAAGCGTAGCCAATGCCTAAAAACAGCAAATCACTTCAAACAAAAAGCAAAAAAAGAATTAAATTAAAACAAACACAACAAAAACAGAAAAACAAAACAAATGATTTGCTATAAATAAAGCGCACAGCAAAGTGTATGCATACTTTCAGGCGCCACTATAAACTTATTATTTATATTATACTCAAGTGCTGTGCTCTCTTCCACGCAGTTGCGATCGTAGCAAAGACAACAACCAAGCGCAAGCTCCTATGGGTTTTTATAGGCATCCCCTTCAGCTCACATTCAGTGCCAATGGCAATGCTGAGAAAACTAATGCAAAATGAATTTATAGTTAATTGAAATATTGTAAATATAAAATGGTTCATCGAAATGCATGTTTTATAGGTTTCACTCACCAATCAGGTAAAGATTGCCCGCGACGGAGTATAAAGTGAAGACAAAAAAACCCCTATCGTGGTTTTTCTCTGCCTCGTTCGCGGGTTAGGTAAGTCCTTAAAGGACGCGATTCCGGCGTACCTCTACTCTCGTATTTTCCAACGGAAGTTAGTTCGACGCATTAATCGGGTATTTTCGGTTTTCAGGCAGGCGGATAATTATATCCGGAAATTTGACTTTCGCTCGTATTTTAGGTTTTTTCTGTTTTTCTAGACGAGATCCTATATAGATGTACCTATATAAATACATGTAAGCGTGTGTGTGTGTGTGTGTGTGTGTGGGAATTTACTAATTACGCATAATGAAAACTTTCTATGGAGTTTCCTCTTTTGGATATTTAATGTAGGGTCGAAGACTAATGCTACGTATTTTAGTACAAAAGTAATGATTATAAATGACTTAGTTATAATTTAGATTTACACAATATTTTGAAATGTGAAGTATATAAATAATAAAGTATTTTAATACATTTTAAAAATTTATCTTTTAATAAATACTTTAAAGTGTTCAAGTTTTTGTTTATTATTAGATGTTTAATATAAAAGATACTAATATTTTTCTTTGCATTGTACACATTTTCTAAAGCCCTATCAATTTTTAGATATTCTCGCTATCTTCATAATAATGATTTCTGCTATAAATAGTAATTTTTAATATAAATATAAATTTATTATTTTATATGTATATCATCCTTGAATAATACTATAACAAATAATCAATAATATATTTAAATATAATATTACTACTTTTCCCATTTACTGCATACGAGGAATTCGCAAAAAAAAATTAACCCAGGTTCTCAAAAATCCAATGTGCTCTCCATCACTCCTACTCTGCTTCGCTCCCTATCCATCTCCCTCGCTCTCTAGCTATCGGTCGCTTGCTCTCTTCAGTCGGTTGACAAAACCCAACGAACGGAATTGCAGCCGCCGCGATCGAGAAAGTCCAAGAGCGAAATGCAGACAGAGGCGAATTGAGCTGACGTCATACCTGCGATGCGGCCGCCATAGGCTCGAGTTCGCGTCAAGCGGCCGTTCCATGTGCTAGAGCGAGACAACTAATGTGCTGCGCAGCAAGAAGAGCTAGCAGCGAATGGCGAATAGCGAACGAGCAAAGCGCAAAACATCGATCTGAGCAATGGCCGGCAGGATCGTGCGTCAGTTGTGTTTCGTCTTTGTCGCTGCGTGCACCCACGAGCTAAGTTAACGGATAGCGGGGCGTGAGTCAGCCAAATTGACAAGACAGATAAACAGTGCAAAAGATATATTCTATATATATAAATATATATTTCAATATATATATATACAGATATTGTTGAGTGCAAAAGTCAAGTCAAGTAGTTTCAAAATTGCCAATCAAACAATGAGCACACGCTCGGTGTCGCCAAAGGTGTTGCTGGACATTAGCTACAAGCCAACGCTGCCCAACATCATGGAGCTGCAACATAATGTCATCAAGCTCATCCAGGTGGAGCAGCACGCCTATATGCAGCTGATGGATCAGCCCACAGCGCACTACATGCAACACCAGCACCAGCACCAACCCAGCAACCAACACCAACAGCACCAACAACAGCATCAGCAACAGCCACAGCAACAGCAGCAGCAACAATATGCGCCGTTGCCTTCGTTGGCACCCAACGCTGCGGACTATGCGGCCTATGGCATAACTGAGTTGGAGGATACGGATTATAATATTCCAAGCAACGAGGTGCTCAGTACCAGTAGCAATCAGAGTGCTCAAAGCAGCCTGGAGCTGAACAACAACCAAAACAGCTTTGACCAGCAGCAACAGGCGTCAGCCACAGCAGCAACAGCAGCAGCAGGAGGCGTGGCAGCTGCATCTCCTCATGGCTACTTGCTCAACGAGCACGGCAAGCGGTCGCGCAGCAGCAGCGACTACGACTGCCAATCGGATGCCCTGTCCATGCAGCCCGAACACAAGAAACTGTTGCAGCAGCAGCAGCAGCAGCAGCAACAACAACAACAACAGCAACAACAACAGCAACAACAATTGTATGTGGACTATTTGCCCACCACTGTGGACGAGGTGGCCGCAGCTCAGACGCAGGCGCAGGCGCCCAGCCAACAAACCTCCTGCGTCTCGCCCCACTCTCATTCACAGTCGCATTTCGATTTTGCCGCCGACGAGGAGCTGCAAGATCACAAGCCGCACATCTTCAAATATGGCGGATATCCCCAAGCAATCAATCAGCAGCAACAACAACAGCAACAGCAACAGCAACAGCAGCAGCAGCAGCAACAACAACATCAACACCCACAACAACAACAACTTCACTTCCAGAGCAACTACAGAGCAGGGTATGTAAATCCTTTAAATTTAAATAGAGCAGCATCGTTCCACCAATTTCTGATAGATACCCCGTTAACTCTGCTACGAACAAAAGTAAACAAATAGTAAAAGCTTTTTCCCTTTTAAAATATTCATTTAATTTGAGAAATATTATAGCGGGAAGGCTTTATTATTTAGAAACATAAACCAGATCGAATATGCACTTCGAAAAAAACATTTCTCGAATCACAAATGAAAATTGAATATAAATTATATTCACATATATTCTATGCGAATAACGAGATATTATTATTACGTGCATTTTTCAATACTCCTCCTTTTTGATCATTTTGAATGGTAAAACATATCCAGTCAATATCCTTGAAAGAGATTTCCAATTCATACATAGCATTTACATATGTCTGCCTCTAGTGTAAAAAAAAGAACTTGAGATCTGTTTTTGTTTTTCAAAATAAATAAATTTCAACTAATTTGTTTCTTTATGAATGTGAAAATACAAAAAAATACAGATGAGTCCATAAGATTTGTACAAAGTATTTTATTTTATACAAAGTACAAAATCTCTATAAATAATGGATTACTATTTACTTATTATGTATTCTTGATTACTTTACTTTATATGTATCCCCCTTAGACCGAATTACGACGCCTATGAACCGGCTAACAGTCTGAATGGCAGCGCCTACTCGAGTTCCGATCGCGACGATATGGAATATGCTCGCCACACCGCGCTCAGCTCAGTGGGCGGCTACGCCAAGGAGGATGAGCTCGAGGACATGTCGCCCACCTGTCTAGGCGACGAGGGCAGCCTGCTGGATGCCGGCGACGTGACCGGAAAAGCGTTTCGCAAGCCCCGCCGCCGGCTCAAGCGCAAGCCCAGCAAGTCGGAGGAGACGGACGAGTTCAGCAACCAGCGAGTCATGGCCAATGTCCGGGAGCGCCAGCGCACCCAGAGCCTCAACGACGCCTTCAAGGCCCTGCAGCAGATCATACCCACTCTGCCGAGCGACAAGCTGAGCAAAATACAGACGCTCAAGCT